TAAAATACAATTTTATTATTTTTTAGGGCATATTTGGATTGTTACCGTACAAATATTTTGTTACCGTACAAATATTTTATTAATTTTTAGGGCATATTTGGATTGTTAGTGCCAAATTTTTCTTCACGACCAAATATTTGGTAAGGTAAAATTGCATTTGATCATATTTGGTTTGCTGCCAAAATGTAAAATTGTAGTGAAGAATGTTCTACATAATCTCAAATCTAGATTACGTATTACCAATGAATAGGCTTCCATTTTCGTGTGTTGTGTGCTAGTGGGAAAGAAGATATGAAGAGGTTGCCTTCAGATTGTCAATTATATAGCGTCGTTTTCACTGCAATATATGTGAACTCAATGAGATACATTATTCATTAGATGTGACAAGACGATCACGCGTGGGCGTGATTCACTTTATGTAAACAGGCAGCGCCGAAAGTTGATAGTGATAACTCGAGCTGCCGCTTTTCATGTGTGCTGTTGTGGACTGTGCGCGCTACTGGATCTGACACTACCGTGCAGCGCCGAAAGTGTGTTGTCGTGAGCATAAGTTGTTCTAGCACCATATGAATGAAAAGAACTATGTAGACGAGACAAACACAAGTAGTACTGCAGTAGTAATAGCAAAAGTAGTACTGCTTTACAAGTTTGTAAGCCAAAAGAAACGGTCACATAAGGACTGAAGAGGTAGAACACTACTGACGAGGCCTCTTACCCCTGTCCCTCCTACCCTGCGCCCTAATGTGCCCGTGGGAGTACGTGAGTCGGTCCGGGGGTACGGCACGGCCAACCCGTCCTGCCTGTACAGGTGTGACCTCTGGCTGCTCCTGAGTGTGCGCCTCTGGAGCTCCTCCAAGCTGAGAGGAGCCTAGTACGTCGTGGTGGTCTGCACCGTGCAAGTCGTCGTCGTAGAACTGGCTAGTAGGACCAGTCCTACCGGCGTGAGACGAAGAGGCCCCAGTACCGAAGATCCCGGCTGCAAATCCTGCTGGACAAGGACCATCAGTTTCGTACAGGTATTTAACAGTATTAATAAAAAGTAAAGTACCGTGTGGGCGAGGGATCGACGCTCCGTGAGAGGAAGAGCTGGCGAACGCACCCGAAGAGGTGGCGAACGCCCCTGCGGAGCTCGTGGAAGCGCCGGTCGTGCCTGCGGCCATGGACGGACCAATTTTCTTGTATCGATCCCTAAAGTACGCTTGCGTGCCGTGAAGGATGAATTCAACAATAGCAACCAATGGAAGTACCCGAACTCCTCGCATTACCCAGTTGTACACCTCTGCCAAATTGGTTGTCATTATGCCATACCGAGATCCATCGGTGTCGAACAATAGAGACCACTTCTCCTTAGGCTCATTCTCAATCCACTGAGTGAAATTTCTGATGGACGACCCTGACCTCCTTCTCATTGTTGGTGGGTCATCATGTAATGCACCAAGAGGTATGGGAGGCTCGTCACCTTCAACTAGTGGTCTGCGAGATTGCTCATCTGTTTGCTTCGTTGTCAACTCATCCAACTTGTCCCACAACTCATTAAATTTCTTCTCTTGGTTCTGTGCATAGAGCCTCTTAAAGAGCTCCATAAGATGCTTGTTCTTGAATTGCTTGTAGAAATTTGCACCCATGTGACGCATGCACCACCGACTCCGAACATCAGGCCACTTAGCTGGAAGTCCCTTCTCATCCCAACCGTTCTGCAAGTAGTCAATAGCCCGCAACATACCCGCATGACGATCATGTATAAGGCAAACGTTGGGCCTCATACGCACCACTGCAATGTGCACTCTCTCTAGGAACCAGTACCAGCTTTCAGTGTTCTCACTCTCTACAAATGCAAAAGCCATAGGTAGAACCTGGTTGTTCCCATCACACCCAATTGCTGTCAATATCTGACCTCGGTATTTACCTGTCATAAAAGTTCCATCTATGCATAGAACAGGTCGACAATGCACAAAAGCATTGATGCAAGCACCCAATGAGAAAAAGGCTCTCTGCAGCACACTCTTTGTTCGATCATCAACCGATGTAAATGTATGTAGGTCATAGTACGTATTATTATTCCTCTGGGCAATGGTGGCTAACAAACGAGGCAAATTATCATAAGAAGCTTCAAATGTGCCATACCTCATCTCAATGATCTTTTGTTTGGCTCTCCAGGCCTTTGCATAGCTTATGGTGTACTTGAATTTGTTCTCGATGTGCCTAATAATTGATTTTGGTTCAAAGCCAATGTTACCAACAACACTGCTGTACATCTCACTTGCCACAAAAGCTGAAGTGATGTTTCGGTGATACTTCTCCACCCCTTGTAAGTAGCACTTGTGCTCGGTCACAATGCTAACTTTCCAATAATCATTCCATTTACCCTTATATGCATGGACACGCCACGGACAATCTTCCTTCATGCACCTCACTTCATACACATAATTTGTTGACTTGACCACCCTAAACTCTCTCTGCAAGGAAACTGCCCAATGCTTCACCGCCTCCTTCATCTCATCCTTATGAGCATATCTTGCACCCTCAATTACCTCGTTCTCCTTATACTCCCAGGGTACATGATCACCATCTGATATAACAAGTCCAGAGAAGTCCTCATTTGCCCAATCAGTGGCCATTACATCACCTTCCTCATCGGATGATGCGTCGTCGTCCACTTCCTCATTATCCGAATCTTCCCTCTCCATTTCATCAACAATTATACCGACTCTCTCCCCCTCATCCGCCATGCCCATAGCCTGCTCCTCCCTTGGTTGATTTTCCTCATTTTGCATCGATGGTCCAACAACATCCCCTGCATTGATAGGACCCTCTACATCTTCGGTTTGCATTGAAACATTTATATCTTTCTCTTGTACCGATACAAATATAACGAGGGGCCATGACCGTTCAAAAGCCATTTCCACATACCGTCTCCAAGCATCAGTGCTGTCCATCGGCATTAGTTCCCAAAAATAACCTTCTGTTGCACGACTCACTACAACTGACACTGACATTGTGTAGACTTCTTGGTCTATTCTAAATCCTCTCAACAACCAACTATAAATTGACTGAAATGTTCTCTCCGCAGGCCTATCGATGCCCTTAGATGTCATTACAAAATCTGACAGATCAACACCATCTGGACCAAATCTAATATTTCCTTCACCGTGAACTATCTGAAATGTGACCTTACTTGACATTGTGCCTGATGAAAACAATAACTGCGTTAACCTCGCATTTCTGTACTACGCCCTAAGTTACATTCTCTACAATATTGTTCTCTAAATTTCTAAAATTACATTACATTCTCCAGATCAAACTAAACTACATCTTACAATTAACACTACTGTCTATGTCTCAATTCATACTATTATATTCTATGCTCTGGATCTTCACATATGTGCTGTGTGCTACAGATGTGCTAAAATATATGGAACTAAAACTAAAACGCAACATATATACTCAAACATAACATATTAGTACAAATGCAAAAGATGTATGGGAGCATACCTGTGATGAATTGAGCGAACCAGCAGGGCTTCGCCGCTCCCCTTCTGCTGCCCTCCCCTCTCTCTCTTTTGTTTTTTTTGGATTTTTAGTGAATATAATGAAATTTCACAGAGGAGGGACTGGGCTTTATAGGGGGAGAGGCAAAAATCGCCCTCCCCCAGGGCGGCAAGGGGGCCGCCTGCAAAATTCCATGCCCCCTCGCCGCCCATTTGCAGGCGGCCCCCCCCACAGTACAAAATCGCCCTAGCGGAGGGCGGCAAGGGGGCCGCCTGCAAAATTCCATGCCCCCCCTCGCCGCCAATTTGCAGGCGGCCCCCCGCACAGTATAAAATCGCCCTAGCGGAGGGCGGCAAGGGGGCCGCCTGCAAATTTCGTTGACGGCCGTCGCCCGAGAGCGAACGGCCGTCTGCCACGTCATTTTCGCCGCCCTCTGAGAGGGCGAGGGCGGTAGGCGACTCCTTCCGTCAATTTTCAAAATGGAAAATTATTTTTGTAAAACTTTTAATACAAAAAATTATAAATAAAAAAAATTCCCTACATAGTTTGGTTGTTTGGCTGCGTTGGTTTTAAGAATAGCAAACCAAACAAAAACCAACCATGGAACAAACGGAGAAATTAAAACCGAAGAAAAAACCAAACATAGAAAAAACTGCTACTTCGGCTCGGTTCGGCTCGGTGTCCGGTTTTCTATATTTTTTTCCCACCCCTACCCCCACCCTTAATCCAAGTTACTACCTATTCTCAGTCAACCCAACACAAACACTAAAATAAAGATAAATTCAATTTCCATTTGGATTTAAATTGAAGGTCCAACTCAATTCAATCTAAACACAAATATAGATATATTCAAACGTTGGTCTAGGAGCGATCGATCTCATATAGTTGTGATGAGTTTGGTGCTAAGACTTCCCCCTCAGTGGCTTGTGTTTGTATGGTCGGTGCATCATTCTCAACTATGCGCTCCGATGCACGGCCAAGCTTGATGGTCTTTTGTGTCTCCCCCCCTCCTCTTAATACTATTAGAATGCTATGCTGAAAAAGAAAAAAAATAGTACTGCTACACGTAAATACTCATGTACAACTAAATACATGTACTCGTAGATCAATTAAAGAAGAACATCTTTACATACGTACGTGAGTTGTTTAGTTAGATCGTATGCATACCATTTTCCAAAAAAAAAATTCGTTGAAGGCCAAGTCCATTGTGCAACGTGTGTCAAAAGGTCAAAACGTTTGTCTGCGCCTGCTAGTGCACTTGCACTTGCATTGCAGCAGGTAGGCAAAACGAAGACCACCCAAATCTTCCGTTCCCATTTTTCGTGTCCCTTCCATCATCCTTTCCCCCTCTATATTTTCGAGGCGGGGGCTCCACCGACCAAACGCTGCGCTCGGTCCACCACACACCTCCGCCTGCACGGATCACGACCGCGCGGTGCACGGCGTCCACGCCCCGTGGACCATGTCCACGGAGGGGAAGAAGAAGCCGACCCAACCTAACCCAACCCAACACATTCTTCCTCCTCCGCGTTTGCTCCAATCTCTTTCTCTCTCCTCCTCCTCCACCTGAATCTCCCTCTCTCTCCTCCAAGAACAGGGGCGGCGAAGCAGCTAAGCCGGATTTCGTGGTTGGTGGCCTCTCCCCTTCCACCACCAGGCTCGCCCCGCCGCTGCCGCGAGGTGCCCGGCCGCCTGTTTCTTCTCTCCGGTGCATTTCGATCTGATTCCCCCGTCCGATTTCGTGTCCGTCCTGCTTCACACCCGGATGGTTCGAATCGATTCTTAAGGAGGTGAGGCGTTTAATTTGTTGTTGAGCTACGTGTAAATCCCCCCCTTTACATATGCGTGGAGAGATTGGAGCGGGCGTATGGAGCTTCGCTGAGCTCACGGCTTCTTCGGGATAGGCGGGGGAGGAGGGGGTGATGGTGCCATGGTTGGCATGAAGCTTCGTTTCTCATTTTCCATGGTGTTGGAATGCAGCTTCTCAGCTTGAGCAATTTGAGGGAAATATTGTCAAACCCAGGGAGCGTTTTCTCAGAGCAGTGATTATAATTTTTCGGTTTATTAGCATTCTTTTTTTAAGTATACAACTTCCTATTTTCATGTAACTATATATTTTCAAGGATTGTTACTGTTTAATTTGACATCACGGCTGCATGGATCCATTTCCTCCTAGATAGTTGCAGCTTCAACTCAATCTGCTTACACGCCTTTCTTGTTAGTGCTATAGGTTTATCGAGAACCTCATAAATCAGCTGTATTTTGTTCAGGTAATGACCTTCCCCCTTATCAAATGTCTCACCTGGAATACCTACCAGAACGTTATGGAGCTGGATAACTATGATTTCTCAACAATTGGATTATTCTAAAGCGTTAGTGGCGCCTGTTTTCTTGTAACGGTGTGACCTGTTGCAGATTGGTTGCTTTAGATTAACTTTGTCTGTGGTGATGCACCATGCATCTGATTAGTCAAAACTAGCATCCAGTAAGCGATGCCAAAGTGATTGAATTGGACATAGCATGGAAGCTTTAGAGTGAATGTGTTAATTGATAAGTGTAGTCCCTCCTTTCATTTGTTAAAAGTCTCATCTGTTTATTTGGACAAAAAAAAATCTTTGGTTGTTATAAAATGGAATACTTATGTGTTGAAAGATGAAAGCCATTAAGCATATGTCATGTCAAGTTGATCTATATGTCAACAAACAATTTTTAATGTCAAGTTGAGAGGCTCTGTTTTTAACTTGATCTTAAGGTGAGTTGTTTAGCTACTTGCTGAAAACATAATTAGTCGTGCATTGTCTGCCCATACCATATATAGCTGCAACAAGGTTATCTTACTGTGCAACTGCACAAATTACAATGACTAGTAGTTGTTCATTCCTCAGTATTAGTAACTTTATTTAAGTGAAAGTTTTATAATATTCTATCTTTTATTTCAGAAACAAATGAATCGTGGCGAATGAAGAGTTTAGCGATGTGCCTTAGTTGAATGGTTCCATTGCCACCCTGTTTGGCTGATTTTGTTCAGACGAACTCATCTTCAAGCTTATATGGGGTAGGTTCTCCTCGTGTTTACCTGGAATAAACTTAGTATCATGTTTTTTTAAGGGAAACTTTAGTATCATGTTCATATCTCCTTCCATTTTCAATTCAAATTAGGCCACATTATATCCTTTGCTTATTCATGAAGGACTACTATTTTCAATGCTATCATTGGGGCAATTCACACCTCAAGCATTTCTGATGTTTACTTCATGCAGTACAGTTGCTGCATAGGTAATTTGAGCAAGTCCCAGCCACTTCCAGATTATAAACCAAAAACATCTGTAAGAAAGAAGCCTCGCCATTTATCTATTGGAAAAAGAAGGCAATGCTCATCAGGCCTAGAAGCAATGGAGAACAATGTTAGTGTATCCGTGTCCCTTGAGGGGAATATATCATCACTTCCCAACTCTATCATCAATGATTCTAATGGGAAAGATACCTCATTCATCAACCATGGTATGCATGATTTTAACTTCTTAGTTTCTTGAGTTGCTCAGTTCAATAGCTTCTATTTGTAGTTATGTGTATGTGTTCTATAAAAATCTTCTTTCTGCAGCGGCTATAGCATGGGCCGAGATGAGAAGGCAATGGACCGGAGACCAGGAGAAAGTTCCTAAAGAGGCATCACAAGAGCCAATAATAAGGTTCGGTTTCATCTTCCATCTGTTTGCAGTTTGCTCACACGTGACTTGCATTAGTGGATATGGAAAGTTTTTTCATAAACTGGGTTGTTCATTCCCAGTTGTGAGTTCTAGTTATTCAGGGATGGTTTGTAACTACCCCTGCAAACAAGCGCGTAATTTCATCACAATATTCTTTGCCAAGGCTGTAAATAAAGATTGTAGCTGCCTTACCAAATATTCATTGCCAAGGCTGTAATAAGTTCTTGATTTCTTATTCCATGCCACCAACTTCTTTTCTCACACCAGCCATTAGTACAATGATTAACACCTTTATTTATGTTTATCACAGCTGGTGCACAACATATGATGATCTGTTGTCGACAAGTGAGCGTTTTCCGCAGCCAATCCCGTTATCTGTAAGATCCATAACCAAAATGTTTCTTATATTCCATAGATTATTTACACGGTGATCTCCTGACCTACAAAATTCTTGCAGGAGATGGTTGATTTTTTGGTTGACATATGGCATGAAGAAGGGCTCTATGATTAGTTGGGTTTGACTGTTTCTAATAGTTATCCTGAAAAAAAAAAAGAAAAGAAACTACAAATTAGTAAGCAGGATTAATCTCAAATTGGGTATTGGAAAAGAAAACTGTAATTGTAAAAGCTACAAAATGGTGTTGATATGATTTTGTGCTAGTTGGACCTCAAGCTCTCAGATGTGTTGCTATCTGCTGAATGACCCTATGACATGTAACTGTCATAGGTAAAAACTGAAAGGCACATAAACATTGTTTGTAAACACGGCAACTTCACAACAAACATCCATTTTCTTGAGGTTGAGGTCTCGAGGAGCATTGGAAAATTTCCCAAATGCCAGAAAAAGTTTTTCTATGACCGATGTTGGCCTCTCACATGTCCGTAAACAGCAACAGGGGTAAAAACGCCACTACCTGCACCTGGCGTGGTTTGACCTTGTTCTATTAATCCCTCCTCTCCCACAAGGGGAATGAGCCTATTCTTGTTCGATTAATTCCTCCCACAAGGATATTGAGCACCTATTCAAGATAATCGGTAGGATCGTTTTTTGATTTGTAGTATCATAGTATCCCGATTTAGAAAATACACATTTTTATATTAATATATAATATGTTGTATAAATTAAAACATATAATATCGATTTTGATAAATTTAATTGGTTTTTAATGTAAACTTGAGCATGTTTATTCACATTATTTTCAATCCATCTTTTTTTAAATAATGTTTTTTAGGATCGTAGATCATAGGTAACGTAGTGTCGGGATACCATCTAAGATTGCGTAAGATCATGTGGAAATGAATAGTAAAATCAGGTTACTATGATTATTAAGATACAAGGTGAGATCGGTATTGTTATGACTTCGTAGGATTGGGATAGCAACAACCTTGCACCTATTATAGTGTGGAACTATTCCCTCGAAACCCTATTTTTGAGATCTTGTTTTTGTTTGGTTAATCCCTCTCACAATCCCCTCCAATTCTCGTTTTAAATTTCCCAAAATTACATATAATTTGATAAAATTATCAAAAAACTACAGATTTAGAACCAATTTTATCAAACAACTACAAATTTAAGATGGACAGCCACCAAACCACATATTTAGTTTTTAAATTATCACAAAACTATATGTTTTATACCATGTTAAGTGCAATATTATAACATTTATAACTCTTAACATAATATTAGTGGTGAGGATTTAAACTGTAAAATCTATAATTTTACTTAAGTTTTTTTTTTCGGGTCAAAAACAAATGGAAGTCTCTCACGCACACAGACGGTTTTTGCCTTTCCCTTTTCCCTTTCCTCGCTCCTCGTCCTGTCTGGCTGTCTCTCCTCCTCCCCGCGTGGCGGCGTCGGTAGATACCGCGTGATTCATCCGGCGGCGGCGAGCTCCGCCGATGGAGAAGGTGAAGGGTCTGCTGAAGCCGCGGCCGACGCCGCAGCAGCAGCTGCGGGAGTGGCAGCGCAAGCTCCGCAACGAGTGCCGCGTCCTCGACCGCCAGATCCGAGGTTCGCTCCCCCATCTCCTCCTCCTCCCCCGACGCGCGACCCGACCTTCACGCGAGGTCTTTGTCTAGGTGTGTTCTCTTCCATATGATCGGGGGGGGGGGGGCTTATACTTCTGAATCGGGCAAGATTGTTTTCCTTGTTGGTGCCTCTGATTAAGCCGGCTGCGGTAAACATTTGCGTTGCCTCAGCGAGCAAATCGCGGGCTTGATTAGCGTTAGCAGCGCCCGTTTCTGCGATCGCTGGGACAAATTCCTAACCATCCCTCTCATTCGTGCCACATATGTTGTTTATTAATACTAGTCTTGTGTTCGTAGATGTTCTCGTGCCACATATGTTGGTAATTAGTAGTGTTTGTCTCTTGTGTTCGCAGATGTGCAGAGGGAGGAGAAGAACGTGGAGAAGTCTATCAGGGAGGCTGCAAAGCGCAATGACATTGGATCCGCAAAGGTGTGCTGTACTAATCATGCTGCTTTTGCTTAAGCACTCCGGTTTGTAAATTGTGATGCAGTACACACGAACATCATTTTTTTTACCCCCTTCTGTATATGCCTATATGGCTGGTTGGATCCCATTCGTCAGTTAATGCAAGTTTAAAGTTGATTTAATTTTATTACGTTGAGCAAAATGCTGCTCATTTGGCTTTGCAAACATCGAACCTGGTAGGGGAATGTGGACACTGCTTAGATTGTAATTGTTCGCTAAAACTTTTGGACCTACCATGTGCTATACCTCAGGTGCTCAGAACCATGTCGCTTTGATCTCATTGACATGTGGAATACACATACTATTTTTTTCTTTCTGCTGTTTAGTTGCTATCCAACTATGAACAACGTACCCTTTTGGTCTTGTATCCCACAATGGTAAGTTAGAGAGTAACTGTGAGCGTTATCCTGACTCCTCCGACCTTTGTTCCATGTCATTTGATGTTAGCTGCAGGATGCATTATTGACATACTCATGTGAAGCTTGCTAAGAAAACCAAAGTCTGGATTGATAAAATAAAATTCCATTTAGAAGTTCAACAATTCAGTAAAATGATTTTAGAATGAACAGCACATGAGTATATGACTTGATGAGTAAAATCGTAAATATTCTTATTCCCAGTAAAGCATGCCTTGTCATGCCTTGTGCCAGAGCACAAACTGTAGCAGTGGTTGACTGGAGGCTTTGGTCTGTAGCCGCCAACCAGGGCCACGGTGAATAGTAGCTGTTGTCATGGGATAAGCATGCACATGGTACACGAGAAGAACAGAAACAGAGGAAGGGGGAGATTAGCTATTTGCTTGTTTGAGTAACTTAAATTCTTCAGGCCACTTGTAAAGAGGTGTGCTGATCCTAACAATGCGAAACTAAATCTGATAGCTTACCATTGGACTAGTAAACTGAATCAAATGGATAATGGTTGGAGCCAAGATGGAGCTGACATCATTGGGCCTTGGCGCTATGCCTGGTGCAGGAACAGTCCCACATGGCATACCATAAATGCATACTATGACTGTATGATATCATTCTTTTAACTTCCATGTTTTTTTACAGTAGGAATTGACATAGTAATTTAGTTGCACTAGAGTGGGTCCATGTGTATGTTGGTCGATTGAGACAAAACATCAGTGTACATGCATCCAAAACCATAATGGTATAATCACAAATTTACTAAATCCTAGATAAATGGTTGGTTCCACTTCTCTATTGTTTTGGTTTCTATTTTTCATGCACTTCACAATATAAAAGGCTAATTTCTTAAAATTTTTATTCTATTTATGTTGTCACTTTCTCTTTATGTTGTCTTGTGGTATATGTGTCTCCATTTATCTTGCAATTACTACTCTGATGTTAATACACATGTAGAGTTCTCTTGGGTTATGATGTTTCTTGAACACTCAAGTACTCAACTCATTCTGTATACACAGATCTGTCCATACACTTTTCAATTGTTACAATGTTACATAGGGTAAATTATTAGTTCCTGAAAGCTCTCCCATTAATTTTCATGATGAGCATGCACTAGTTCTTATACATCAATATATGTTTTTGTCCCACATATGATGTTGAGAGTTTCAGACATTATCCAGTGCCAAGTTTTTACAGTTGGCAGAGTAAGGTGAAGACCTTTGTACTGTTGATGTGAATATTTCATTTTTATATGTCAGGCTCTTGCTAAGGAACTAGTGAGGTCAAGACGTGCTGTTAATCGTCTCTATGAAAACAAGGCTCAACTAAATTCAGTATCAATGCATCTTGGAGAAATTGTTGGTATGTTCTTTTTCTTTTTATGAGCTGATAGAGAGGATTTATTAGCAATTCAGCCTAACCTTCATCGTATCAGCCCACAAGTTCCTTGCAGGCAATTACATTACAATCTGTTAGAGCTAACTGAATTTCTTCACTACTTATCTGTTCGCGCTGATACTGGACTGGAATACTGAAAGGATTCAGTCACAGTTTAAATTGAAATTTGCATATGCCACTGAAAAGTTTTATCCCTTTGTAATTAAAATTCGGTGCCTCACTGGTATGTAGGATCTCACCCACCTCATAAGCACCTGATTGTAACATTTTCTACAGAATTGGAACATAAAATTGTTAATTTTGGACTTGTTTTAGTAACTGTGTAGCACCTGACAAAATCAGTTTCTGTGCTCATGTCATTTGATATGTAATGCAGTATATTTTATAAAGGTTTGCTTGTTAGTTGTTAGCATGTGAGTGAACTTAGGTCGAAGCCAGGAATGAGAGAACCATTCTTGTTACCTTAATACATTTCACTTCCGTTCTGTTGAGATCTCCAAACATGACTAAGGAGTAGTACTTCATTTATTTGTTTTGTTTATTACAAACTATTAACTTCTGTTCATGCAATTTCAGCAACGGCAAGAACTGTCGGTCATCTGTCAAAAAGTGCTGAAGTTATGAAAATCGTTAACAATCTAATGAAAGCTCCAGAATTGGCTGCCACCATGCAAGAATTTAGTAAAGAAATGACAAAGGTAATCCGCTATTTCTGTTTTCTTAGTTCAATATGTACCATATCAACCATCTCTTCCATTTCTTGTGCATAGTTTAAAGACGTCAGGTCTGTTACTCTGCACTGATATTGATCTTTGTGTTAAACTGGCAAACTGATCATTGAGCCATGTGCTTGAACTCACTGACCTTTTTGCACTCTAGGCTGGTGTGATGGAAGAGATGGTCAACGATGCAGTTGATTCAGCTTTGGACTCTGAGGACATGGAGGAGGAAATTGAAGAGGAGGTTGACAAGGTTCTTGCTTCAGTAGCTGGGGAGACTGCCTCACAGCTACCCGATGCTGTGAGGAAACAGAGGATAAACCAAGCTTCAACAAGCAGGGTCCCAGAAGAGGTAGATGCTTCACACTTTTGTTTGTGCGTTTTGTTGTTAGGATGGCATGAAAAATCAACTGTGCAAAATAGTAGTCCTCCAGAAGCTATTTACTGGAAGGTTGCTTTTGAGTAGTTAAGCTGTCCTATATAGACAGCAACATCCTTATTGTAGTCACTTAATAATACTAAAATGAATAGATTCGTAAACTCCAGCAATTTTATCTGACAAAAATATCCTTTTGTTATGGACCATTTTATTATTTAAATTATTAAGAGCAATTATGTTTCTTTTTCTATTTTGTAGCGACAAGCTGTTGCTGAGGGCGCTGATGATGATGAGGAAGATCTGGAAGAGATCAGAGCACGGCTTGCTAAAGTGAGGTCATAACATTCTAACTTTGGGAGTTCCCTAGATAACATCCAGACCAATCTATGATAGATTGGCCTCGGTTGACCAAGTTTGAACTAGCAATGTACTGTTGTATACTTGTATAGTAAACATCCTGTATCTTGATCTGTCTAGAGACAAAAAAAAATGAATAATGTAATCTCCTGGTGGCTCTATCGAGTATCGACTTTTGTAGGACTCCCTTGTTTCAAATTACTTGTCACTTTTAGCTTCGTTTTTAAGTCAAATAATTTTTTTAATTATAACCATCCATTTTTAGAAATTCATATAATTTAACAAGTGAAATAAATATTAGCTTGTAGTTTTATTTTCTAAAATCGAGTTATGTATTTAATTCCTTCCTTTTAAAAAATACTTTCCTAAAAAAAGAAAGAAAAAGCACATTTCTCTAAAAACTTCAAGTGTTGTTGTAGCTCTATCTTGAAGGCACTCCTTTGGTTTTCGATTTGAAGGTATGAACATAAAAGGACTATGCTAAACGACCTTTAGACAACGCGAAATCTATTTCGAGAACGCTCTCGGTTTAGCTCTACAGCGCGACGCATCTCAGAGCCGTCTAACTGTGCACGTCGCTATGATGTCCATCCACATGGGTGTCTTTTTCCTTTCAAATAAAGTTCACGTGGGTGTCTTTTTCCTATTCAAATAAAGTTTCCTCTCAAATTACTTATCTGATGTACAATCCGATTACACCATTGTGTTCATTACAATTAAATCTTCACAACAAGATCTTACATGATTATGTTACGATGAAAAAATATTTATATTTGTAAGTTACTTTTATCATATATATATAAGTTACTTTTAGATTTGAATAAATTACTTCTTAGACATATAAAAGTAAATTCAATAAAATCTAAAAGTAATTTACATAATTCTAAAAGTAACTTAAAACAAAACAGAAGTGACTTTGTCACGACATTAGAAGTAAATTCGTTTTAGGGATAAAATATGACTTTTTAGTTAATTCCATAATTTGTGCTTATTAATTTAATTTCTAGATAGAGTCATGTTTTTATCTCTACAACGGATTTACTTCAAATGACATGCCAAAGTTACCTTCGTTTTGTTCTAAGTTACTTCTATAACATATATAAATTACTTGTAGACTTACTGAATTTACTTTTAAATTTATAGTTTAAGAAGTAACTTAGTGAAATCTAAAAATAATTTAAACATATCATAAAAGTAATTTGTGATTTTTCATCAAAATATAATCATGTGAGATCTTGATGTAAAGATTCAATTGCAACGAACACAACGGCGTAATCGGATTATAAATCGAATAAGTAATTTAAGAGAAACTTCTCTAAGAAGGAAAAAAAATACATAGATATTGAGTGTACAAGTAGCTTTTTTTTTAAAGAAGGGTGTCTCTCTTTAGCACTATCCAGCTAGCACTCTCGGTGTAGTCGCGTTCTTTAGATAACCCTAACTTTTCTTAAAACAAAATGGATGTTTACTAACTGGATAAAAAACATACGAAGGATCTGGATTCTATTTTTTTTGGGCCAAAATTTGGATATTTACAATCTTATATTTATAATATGATATTTTTGGAATTTTTATCCAAATTTTAGAAGTTTTTATCCCAAAGGTATTTTGGTCATTTGGACAATATTGTACGGTGCTAATGGAGGCTAACCGGACGGTGATGGTAAATCGTAAAAGTTAAGCAAAAGTCGATGGCATGTTGTAGAACGTAACAAAGTTAGTGGCAAATCGTACACCTGTGACAAAGTCAGTGGCATATAATGGATTCTCTCCAGATAGATATCAAGCGATAGACTCAAAAATTCGAAATGATAGCTTTTCGCATGGTTTAGGAGGGTGAAACCCTCTGTTTTAATGACATACTAATTGACTTGTGAACCCAACCAACAACATAACCTTACTCGACTGATTGACTAGCTTAAAGCCACAAGAAACTACTACTTTTGTCCCATAATATAACAACTTTTAGCGATGTAACTGATTATACCCTTGTCCAGATATAGAGCTAGAAATTGTTATATTTTGGGATGGATGAGGTATCCGAAATTGTCCCCGGAGGATAATGGCTTTATCCATCCTCGATATTTATGATATTAAATTATATAAATCTATAGTAGTTGATCCAAGTTAGAAATTTTTGACTTATCACAAAGCTAAAACAACAAGTAATTTAAAACAGAGCGAGTATGTTAGACCTCAAGGCCTCAATTAGTTATGAGGACCTTGTGTACCATTCTTGAATGAAGAAGTTTGGCGAGTAATCGGGGACTTGCCTTTTGTCAAGGCGCTGGCGTTGGATGGCTTCATGGGCCGATTCCATAAGAGCTGCTGGCCGACTATCAAGAATGAAGTTATGGCTGCCCTCCGAGAGCTCTATCTGGCCAACGGTAGAGGTTTTCATCTTCTAAATGATGCTCTCATCTTCCCCCCGTCAAAGAACGGCGAGGCCATGGATGTTCGGGATTTTTGGCAGATCAATCTCGTTCAAAGCTTTAGTAAACTCTTCTCAAACCAATGGTGGGAGGGGGATTAACCCAATTCCCCCATAGACTATTTTCCATGTGTGAAACGTTCCCCACTTGCCGAACAAGGACTTAGGGTATTGCATGAGAGACCTATGAACCGAGGTGATCTAACCGTAGCGACCACCTTATCTCGATGGCTTTTTTAATCGATGTTATATGGTTTGATGTTATGTGAATAAAACAACAAACTGGTTTTGTGATGCATAAGGCTCTATATCTAATAATAGGTGAATGCTTTGCATCGTGCGTCCAATGGAATCGGACGCTACATTGGAAACCCACCCACATGTGAGCAAATTTCTAGCGCAGGGAGAAAAAAAAGAAAGAAAAACAAAGGGAGGGAGTAATATTTAGATGAGAGATTTAAAATAAATTATTTAAACTACTTATCCAATCATATTTTGATGAAAATAATATAACTTTTTTAACTGTGCGAATTCAATGCTTCAACTAGACTTCATCGTTTTTGCACATTTTAAGTTGTTTTGTTGCAATGGATCTTTTTAATGTTGCACACCATGTTATCATTGTTTCAATTAGTATTGTTTTTATGTTTTAGTAGTTCATTTACAAATGTTGCATATGATGTTATTAAGACGTTTCAATAAGCATTTTGTGACGTTTCACTAATTATTTCACGAGTGTTGCATGTAGTGTTTTTTAATATTTCAGACAGTATTTTGTGGTGTTTCAACTGTTATAACTCAATGTTTTATATATAATATAAAATGTTTTAATTTAAAAAATGATCATATATTGTTTTAAATTACAAGTGAGATATTGTTATAAAGTTTTAATTGAGGTGAATATAATGGTGCAATCAGAATGCAAATAGAATAAATAATTTAAACTTTTACTAAATGAAGTTGCTATAAAAATGAGAGTTGAAGAGAAGAGCGACATTCAGATTCTGTGCATGCGGTGAAACAAGGATATAGATCGATGCATGCATGCAGCACAGAGAGACGACGTGCATGCATGAAGACAAGGGAGGTGAAGTACGTGCATACTGATGCATGAAGATAATGAAGTATGTTTTGTGTAGAAGCTTGAAAAAATGGAGGGGAGGGGGTGCCCCATTTTTTTTTAAAAAAAGTTCAGACGCACAATTTGTAGTAGCATCCCTAATAGTAATGAGTAAATTTAATAAAACCCTACCTATTATTGTGCAAGTTGTATAAAACCACATGGAATTTGGTACATGTCGACGGGGGATACCCGTAGACCGGATGAATAAGGTATTGGGATACGTTGGTACGAGGATCTATACGATACGACATCAAGCGAATAAGTAGACAAGGATTATACTGGTTCAGGCCCCTCGCAAGGTAATATCCCTAATCCAGTTTATATGAGATTGATATGAAAAAACCACATATTACAATAGAAGACCGATGATCACGTGATTACCGGCGAGATCCTTGTCGAGATGGTTTCGACGAGATCTCCCGACGAGTAGGCTTCGCATCCTCTGGTTCGTAGACTATGGTGTGTGGTGTTGGTGTTAAGATTCGATGATCTCGACCCCTCAGGGGGTGCGCCTTTTATACCGTGAGTCACCTTAGTCTCTAAGTAGAACTCGGAGACTATGGACCCTGCATGATATAGCATAAACCCAATCCTCTCTGAGTAGGACTCTGCTATTTACTTGCCCGTGAGGATAATTACCATAATTTCTTGTTAATTTCCTTATCGTATACGGAAGTATATCATACATACGAAGGTATGCCGTATCCGTATATCCCATAAGTCGTCGGATAGGAGGTATGCCTTACCCGTAACCATGACAGGACATGACACATAACTCTTGGTACTATGATCCTAAAGTTTCACGAAACAACGCCATTAGCCAAATTGATACTCTTGTATCGAAATTTTGAAAAGGTATACTTACATGGATGTAACATTTATATGATAGAGAAAGAACTCATAAATTTACATAATTTAAGATATGATTGTAGAACTCAAAGGTGTAGTAAATCAAAATCAAAATGACAAATAGTGTGATTTTTTGAAACTTTATGGTTGATACATAGGGTTATTTGCCACATGCCAAAACCACTGTGTTTTTTTTGTAACTTATACGCCATAATACTTGTGGTTAGGTAAAATTTACTCAGTAATAATAAGCAGCGCTGCCTATGTGGCTAGCTAAATTATTATTATTTTTTTGAATTTATTGGTAACATTTTATGAAGAATGTATTTGCAATCACCACGACATCAATCTTCCTATACAACTTCTTTTTCCTAAGAAACCTAAGAAAAAAATATACTCCCTCCGTCCCAAAATATAAGCATTTTTGGACTTCGATACAATCTTTAAGACGCTACTTTGACCAATAATATCTATAAAAATAAAATGTTTTAAATAAAAAAGGTGCATATTATGATAACTTGTTTAAAATAAATCTAGTAACAACAATTATACATGATTAATCTTTTTTTATTAATAGTCAAATTTAAAAATGGTTGACTTGACACAATGCTAGAAATGCTTATATTTTGGGATAGAGAGAGTACATGACATGTTTACAGCTAGGCGTCTTATGTGAGCTAACAAATATTTTCTCCATTAATGCAAATATAAAATAAAGTCATTACTTCGCCATGGGTAAACAACACATCAACGTGTACGCTTCCCAAACCGCCAAAGAAGTCGATTTGCACCAGTTTTCAAGGATGGGGAATTGAGGGGGGCAATTTGATCAAGGGTAAGAGATGAGGGAGTCAAAACATATTTATTTTGCTAGGCTTTGGTTTTCATAGAAATGGAACAGCGGCTCACGGTGTATCGCACGGTCACGAAAACTCAAGCTCTCTCTATATCCACCGGAGTGACACAAGCCATGGGTGCCATTCCTACCGAACTTCAGCTCCCCCTCTCTTGCATTCTCTGACACAAACCTAGATTGGACTAGGAGGCGACTGATTTCCATCTCCCCTTCGCCTCTTGTTGTTGTTGCCGCCGATGAATCCGGAATCCCCAATAGAAACTTTAGAGACCAGTTTGGGTTGTCATGCAGGAGTTTTTTTTCTTTCTTTTTTCTTTTTTTTTTGAATACACGACTTCATGCGATCCTTCGGCATGTGGTTGTTTTTGGGAGGTGAGATGTGGTAGACTCATCCTGTTTTTTAAGATGGATGATCCCATTCATTCTTTTGGTATGACCATACGAGGGATGGGATGGTAATATTTTTTAAGGGATGGATCATATATAAGCGAGAGAAGAGTGGGTTAGTTCGGTCCATTAGTTTTTAAGGGCTTATTTCATTAGGCCAACTTATGATTTTGGACAACATTATATATAAGCCAAGCCAATATAATACACAAAATTTCATACAATTTAGAAACCAATTTCATATGCATTCTCTCCACCTTAAAAAAAAACAAATTCTAGAGTTTATTCTATGGCGGCTATTAATGGCCTCACTGTTTCGCCTATAACTAATTATAAGTTGTAATGCATATTAGTGACAAAACTAATTTATGGGCAAAATTTTTAGCGATGCTGAAAAATAAACTACAAGAAAAAGCATGAGAAATCAACTCTATAGTTATAAAATTAAAATTTTATAGCCCCATCGGATGGCCTAATAAGCCAAAGCAAAAAGTTAAATTTTGATTTTTCGAAATATTTTCAGCTTTATTTCTTTTTAGCGTTGGCTTTTAAATCGTTACAAACAAATATATAAAAGTTTTAATTATAAATTAATTTTTATTCCCTAATAAGCTATTTTTGCTTATGAAGGAATATGGGTAACCGATGAGACTATTAATAAGTGGAAGGGCAGAAGATCAGAACGTGAGTCTTGAAATCTACTGGAAGAATCTAAATTATTTTGAGGAGTGCAAAAATTTTGAAGTGGTTGCAGTTACCAAACTTAACATATATACTCATTATGTTGGGTAAAGTCTTTAGACTGCTTTTCTTCCAGAAATTCAAACAACTTTCTTTCATTAGTACGTTTTACAAAATATTAAATGGTACGTTTTGTGAAAAAAATTCTATATAAAAGATTTTTAAAAAATTAAATAAATTTATTTATCAAATTTATAATAATTAATCTTATAGCTTATCTGGTCTCTTATGCTACTGAAAATCCCCATGCAACTTCTAAAACGAACGCACAGTATTCGTAGTACAGTAGGCAGGAACAGTGAATAGTCCTACAAACAAAGTCTCAAGTCTTTTTATATAGAGAAAATCCTCTGTGTACCCCTGAAAGTTCACCTAATCCTTCTGTACCCTTGAATTTTACTCAATCTCCTGGATACCCCTGAATTTTAGTTTGGATCTCTCCCATGCCCTTTCCGCTAGTTGACCGTTAAATTCTTATGAAAAAGTCCATTTTTGCCCTTTGGTATAAAGAAGTATATAAATTAATAGAGTATATTGTTGGAGCATAGAAATGTATTATATGAGACTATTATGTTTATGAGATAGTTATGCACTATATTATTTGCGATAAATATACTTTTAGATATGACATAAAAAAATAATACTTATTTATTTTTTTAGCATATGTGTTCTGATAGTAATAAACAAATATGTTATATTACTATGAAAACACATATGCTACATAAAAGAACTTTTAATAACTAATAAATAAGTATTAAATTTTTATATCATATGTAAAAGTAAATTTGTCACAAATAATATGGTGCATCACAGACTCATAAATATAATAGTCTCATCCAATAAATTTTTACATTCCAACAATGTACTTCATTAATTTATTATGTTTCTTCATAGGAAAAGACAAAATGAACTTTTTCAAAAGAATTTAACGGTCAACTAACGGACAACTAGCGGAAAGGGCATGGAAGAGATCCAAACTAAAATTTAGGGATATGTAAGGGATTGAACAAAATTCAAAGATATAGAAGAGATTAGGTGAAGTTTCATGGATACGTAGGGGATTTTCTCTTTTATATATAGTGGTTGTAGTAGTTGCTCTCCATTTATAGCTCAGATCTTTGTCAACTCTCTCGCACGTGACGTAGCACGTGACAGCTCGCCCACTTTCACTGACAGGGTGGTCCCACCGCCCACCCTACTTTTTCCCCACGCGATAAATATCCGTCGCCTCCAAAAGCTTCTCTCATCAGTTTCTCTCACTCCCCTCGGTTGGTTCGCTCGCTCCCCGGGATTATCAGCCATGGGGCCCACCCGTCAGTCTCACTCCCTCCTCCTCACCTTCCTCCTCGTCGGCGCCGCCGCCGCCGCCGCCGCGGCCTCGCCGGAGGACGGGAGCCCCTTCCTCCGCCTCCCCACCGCCTCGGACCTCCCCGTCCCCGCCGGGCAGCTCCCCCGCTCCGCCGCCGTCGGCCTCATCCGCGCCCTCAACCTCCACCCGCGCGACGCCTCCCCCTCCCCCTCCAGCCGCGGTGATGGCGACGTCCCCGCCGGAACCCTAGTCGAGAGGCCCATCCACCTCGCCTCCATGGCCACCGGGAAGAGCGGCGGCTCGTCGGCTGAAGACCTCGGCCACCACGCCGGGTACTACCGCCTCCCCAACACCCACGACGCAAGGTGACCTCATCTCATCTCATCCCTCCTCCGACGAGCTCGGTTTCCTCAACTGCGGCTGACTCGCGCTCGCAGGCTGTTCTACTTCTTCTTCGAGTCGAGGGGGAGCAAGGGGGAGGACGACCCCGTGGTGATCTGGCTGACGGGGGGCCCCGGCTGCAGCAGCGAGCTCGCGCTCTTCTACGAGAACGGGCCGTTCCACATCGCCGACAACATGTCTCTCGTCTGGAACGACTTTGGCTGGGATCAGGTACACCAAACCTTCTGATAATCAATCATAAGCTAGTGGTAATTTTGCTATATTGTTACAATATGCCATTTGTTTTGTTGATTGTTGAGATCATTGTGTAAAATTTTTCAATTGCAGGAGTCGAATCTGATATATGTTGATCAGCCCACGGGTACTGGGTTCAGCTACAGCTCCAATCCGCGCGACACCCGTCACGATGAAGCTGGTGTTAGCAACGACCTGTATGCCTTTCTTCAGGTAGGAACTCTTATTACTATAACATGATGCATTCCTAGGTGGAATGTTCACTGTACACATGCATCATTATATATCATCTTCGTGCATTGAATTACTAAATTTGTTTTGTTATATATAGCAAAGTTGTAGCTTGTAGGACATCGACAAGGCACTACTCACCTGTTTGAACCAGAAATAGCAGTATCCGTTTATTTGTGTTGTGAGGATATAAATAGGCAAGAAAATGAGGCAAACTACATAGCAATGAACTATATGGAAAACTGCCTTTTTAATTTCTCTTTCATAAAGTAAGCTCCTTAAACTTTTCTTTCCATCATGTTGACAGGCCTTCTTCACTGAGCACCCGAATTTTGCTAAAAATGATTTCTATATTACTGGGGAATCGTATGCTGGACACTATATTCCTGCCTTTGCAAGTCGAGTGTACAAGGGGAACAAGAACAGTGAGGGCATTCACATCAATTTGAAGGTTTTGTTTTTCTCTCTTTCTGGAAGTATCTTAATGGTTCTGCCCTATATGTGATTACAGTCATGGTGAAAACCTCTCTTTCGTGATTTTCCAGGGTTTTGCTATTGGCAATGGGTTAACGGATCCAGCAATACAATACAAGGCATACACTGATTACTCATTGGATATGGGGTTAATTACAAAATCACAGTTTAACAGGATTAACAAAATTGTTCCAACTTGTGAACTTGCTATCAAGCTCTGTGGTAAGTCATGGTTTCCTTGTTAAAAATCTCCCCCATTTTTACTAACATAGCCTCTTGGCCTTGCACAGTAAAACATAACCTGAAGCGTTGTTCAGAAATGTAGTTAGTATTTTTGCCTGTATGTTTTGTTATGACAATGTTATTTTTTTTCCCATTTTATTCAAAAAGCTCCAAGGCTACTTCTGATTCCTTATAACATGTATATCAATCTCGCTTTCTGTTTTATGATGTAGGTACCTCTGGCACTATATCTTGCCTTGGCGCATATGTTGTCTGCAATCTAATATTCTCTTCCATCGAGACAATAATTGGGAAGAAAAATGTAGGGTTAACTACATAACTAATTCTTTGTTTCCATGTTAAACAACCTAATCTGTGTTCATCGCTTCCTGGCAGTATTATGACATCAGGAAGCCATGTGTGGGGAGCCTATGCTATGACCTCTCTAATATGGAGAAGTTTCTCCAATTGAAATCAGTCAGAGAGAGCCTAGGTGTTGGAGACATACAGTTTGTATCATGCAGCCCAACTGTATATCAGGCCATGCTGCTAGATTGGATGAGGAACCTTGAAGTTGGAATCCCTGAACTCCTTGAGAATGACATCAAAGTGTTGATTTATGCTGGAGAGTATGATCTCATATGCAACTGGTTAGGTGAGTATCTTGCTACTTCCTTCATACATCCATAATATCAATGTTTTTTTGACTTGTAGTCTGCAATATGCAAGCCTTTTGTATATGAGTTGTTTTCCTGTAATATAACAGCAAAAGTAGTAAAGTTTACTTTGTTAAGAAGCATTTTGCTGGGTGGCCCAATGGCAATATTTCCATCTAGTCATTATATGCTTTTACATATATTAAATTAATTTTCAAAGTTCTGAAAGATTGACTGCATGGATCCCATGGGGACCTATATTTAGAGACAGAGAGTAGAGATGGCAAGTATGGAGAACCCTGTGCTGTAGTTTATCTGTTGTGTCACAGGTTGTGACATCAAATCCCACTGTACAATGTCACTTGCGCTCCTCTGTGAATGGGTTCTGTGAAACAGATACATTAAGAAATTTCACGATCTTCATTCTCCGCATTTATTATTTTTTTATGGAAGTACAATGTGGAAAACATGTTGTAACAACACATTTGGCCCATTGTAGGCTGTCTATTAGTCTAATAAGAAACGATGATAAACCTTTTATTGTTTAGAATGGCAAGGTATATTAACAATGTACTCCTTCCGTCTCAAAACATAACAACCTAGTACCAGATTAGACTGTACTTTCCTAAATTTTGTCTGTATTTGGTTCTCCTAATTCTAGCTGTTCTCTGCCAATGTGTATGCATAATCAATTTCTTGATTTGAGCAGGAAACTCAAGATGGGTGAATTCTATGGAATGGTCTGGAAAGGAGGCTTTTGTGTCCTCATCTGAGGAACCTTTCACAGTTGATGGAAAAGAAGCCGGTATTCTGAAAAGCTATGGACCTTTGAGTTTCTTGAAGGTCAGTTCTACAATCCGTACTGAAAATCCCTTTATAATACTGGACAAAAACACATGCAGGCATACATGATTACATTGCTTATAGAAATGCATTAAAACATAGCAACAAAATTATAAACCAGAGACTTGTAGCGATTTGCACTCATTATCTTTTTCAAAAGAAAGAAATTTGGACGCACTGCCAAACTTAGTAGAGAGATTTTGTGAACAGGTCCACGATGCTGGCCACATGGTACCAATGGATCAACCGAAGGTCGCTCTGGAGATGCTGATGAGGTGGACCTCAGGAAACCTTTCCAACGCATCCTCGAGCTTCCAGAGGCTCGATTTTACCATGTGATATACACACTCTGTCCTCTTGTGACACGATCAGAGGAACATGGTTTCCCCATAAATTAGTATAAAGTGCTTAGTAGGCACGTCAGAATGATTTTAGGTGATGACAAGCTCACTGCTACCGTACAGATGTTATTTCCCTTGTACGGTGCTTGAGTCACTGAAGTATCGGTGACGCCACTCGATTGTTAGCATGTAATAAAGCTTAGAATTGTTATGGACAGAAGCCAATCTCTTTGTTATGAGGGCTGTTTATGTCCAGGTCTTGTATGCTATTATAATACTTATGGCTTGTGCTATGGATGGTATAATCTGTGCTCCAAACTATACAGTAAATATTTTTGCGGGAATTGGGCGTTCCAAACAGCTTGGATGAAGTGTTTATACATATAGATTTTTGCTATATGTGATAAGAAAAGCCCATTCAATTTTCTTACCCATTAAAATATGAATGGCAAGATCCATCAGAATCAGTGCCCTTACTCTCACCTTTCTTTTAATGAAAAATCTCCATGAGTGGAAATTCATGCTAACAGCCAGTTGCAAACTGAAGAATTAGGAGACTTTATTTGGCACATTAAAAAAAGAAGATAATTGGGTGCGGTGATTGAGAAACAACTTTCTGGATTTTGTATGTAGCCCCGTGCTTACAATATTTATGCCTGAAAAATAAACAGACGATAAAAAAATAGTCTCAAACATAGAGTTAAGAGAACAGTTTTTCCACTGTCAGTAGCTTGCACAGTACAGCAATCTAACAATAATCTAACATCAGTCATGACACTTCTAAATGCTAAAACTAAGTACGCAAGATATCCATATCTAGTCTGTATATGGTGCCCATCGTTTTTCATCATCACACGACTCTGCAAGAAATTCATACACTGGAGCCTTTTGCTTGTCTGAAGATGGACACAGAGATGAACATTCTGCCTTTTCTTGTGTTGTGCAGTTGTGCTCAATCTCTCTTCTTCTCTTTCTTTGGAGCAGGCTTCTGGTACAACACTATCTGACCCAAGAGCGTACCATTCATCACAATGCCAATTGCAGATCCCAGTATCACTTTCAAGGAGTTAAGGGTACAAAATATTACTACCTCCGTTTTCTAATAGATGACGCTGTTGACTTTTTCTCACATGTTTGACCATTCGTCTTATTCAAAAAATTTACGTAATTATAATTTATTTTGTTATGAGTTGTTTTATCACTCATAGTACTTTAAGTGTGATTTATATCTTATACGATTGCATAAAATTTTTGAATAAGACGAATGGTCAAATATGTGAGAAAAAGTCAACGGCGTCATCTATTAAAAAACGGAGGGAGTAGCAAGTAGGCAAATATTTATGGAAAACTCTTTTGCTGATGTACAATACCAGCAAGGCAGCAAATTGACAAGTATCAATGTTACACTGACAGTACCGTATTCTTTGAGAAAAGCATGTTCAAGTTGAGCGGTTTTTTCAGATCAACTGAACTATGGAGGATTTTAATAGAATGAACTGACAAGTAGGATGATTCTATAGGCTCTTTTTTTCATTAAAGAAATTCTGAAACTATCATGTATTAGGGTAAAGAAAGAAATTTGTCGGCAATATGCAATGCACCTATATAATAATATGCACACTTGGAAGAAAGTAGAAAAATAGGATCCTTAAGAATGTATGTAATCAGAACTAAAAGGATACCACTTAAGGGAGTCTTCTCCTGGATGCTGGTGAACACTCTTACTGCAACAGAATATCAGATAAAGTTTAGCTAGCTTTAAACACATCATATAAAAGGAAAAAGTATAACACAGGACAGGTATACTGGCTGCACAGAAGGATCTACTCAGCCGAATAAGGATGTGATTATTTCAAGCCATGCTCCCTATTCAGTATTCAGAACATTTGACTACTTTGTGCTTATACTACTTAATTTCAAACAAAGAAGAGAATAAAATGGATTGTGAAGTAAAAAAGTAATGCCTTGGTAACTAATCTGGCATGTACTTAAGCTTACCTATGGAACCAGCAAAGTTCATGAAACAGGTCAGAAAGCTCAGCTCGCCAGTGCCCTTGTTCTGCGTATCGTAGCAACAGGTCAGAAAGTTTGTACATGCAAATTGTCAAACGACTTGTTAGAAGCCTCCACTCACAAAATTGGTACAAAATGCTGACTGATAGATGAAAAGTTCATTGTCATACTAGTCAATCCCAAATTATTTATTCTAAGGTCCAGACCATAAGATTCATTTAAATTTAAGGTTACCATTTTACTATTTAGTACACCTAGTTACAGCAACTTTCCATGAAAAGATAAACCTAATATAGCTAGATGTACAGAAATCTAACAACGAACCATAAAATTCTTCCATATCTGTGGAAGCCTAGCAAAGAAGAAGATAGCATGCTGAGAAGCCTGCAAAATATATTACACACAATCAAAAGACAAGCATATACGAATATATCAAGTGCTACACAAAATAATCTTTCATTTATAACTTACATAGAGGACTTCAAAAAGAGCAGGGTCAATTTTCCCACCCAATACTGTTGGAGCCAGTCCGCAATATCTAGACAAGCACTGTTCAGGAAAAGCAGGTCAGAAGTAGAAAGATTCTCATAACATTCTGTGGATCTTTTCGATGTTTCCATGAGGATTAGGGCATCGTTGTTGTCAGCACCCAAAGAATAATTAAAAATAAACAGATAAACTGAAGGATACAGTAAAGCTTTCATCCATGTCTTGGTTCCCATTGGTGGGGAGTAATAGTAAATGATTGCAACCAAAATAATTGCTGCATACCAGACAGACGTTAAATAAATCAGCTTTCGTCACGTAAAAGGAAGTTCAGATATCAATATGCAGTCCATTTGGACATTAGGTGAAACACAAACCTTGGATTAACAGAAAAGCTAGTTCCCCATACGCAGAAAATGGCAGTCCTTTATGAATACAATATGCTAGAGCAATTGTGTAGCCGACAACCTCAAGCTCAAAGGATGCTACACTAAGTCCTCTTACACTTCCGTGCTTCAAAATCTTTAATATCTGCAACAAGAAATTTGTAGTTATGTCAAAAACATAAAAAATGAAAGGTTATCCTATAATGCAAGAAGGATTTTGCTTAAGAGGGGAAAAAAAAATCTTAAAATCATTTATTTTTCCTACTGTTTGGTTAAGGCAAGGAACCAAACCAACCCTTAACCACTCACTATGGTATATGTTGTGTCGTGGTGCTTCCCTACACAAGGCAAACATATTTCAGGTATTCATATGATACATTCATGGCATACTCCATATATCTATTATATTGAACTGTTTCTCGTAGCTTTGAGTGGTGGCGCAGCTGTGGGGGGTGCCAGAGGGGGCCAACACCATCCTATCCGAACACCAACACCACCACACCCCCAGTTTTTACTCTATATAAGATAGGTAATTATCTAGTTTATTTGTGTAGCTTGGAATTATTATCAGTTTAGTTAGTTAGCAAGTCTAAAAAACACTAGCAAGAAACATGATCTACAAAATTAGTTTGTGATTTCTCATCTTTTTCAAAGATACTTATTTGCGAGATTATTCAATAGTTTACATTAAAGGGATTTAGCAACAAAGATTAGTTCCAAACTATCAATGGTATTATTAAAGAGCTAAAATTCAAGATTTTTTTAAAGGACTAGTTTACGCATTGATTGTTATTGACAGTGACTATTTGACCTCCTTTGCTATTGATATTGGTTGTTCAGTCTTATGGCTCATCACCCCCCCCCCCCAAAATCTCAAATCCGCCCCTGGCTTTGAGACATGTGAACGGTATGATTCTATCCAACATCTTCATGGGTGGCTGAAGATTGTATAAATTTATTATGTATAAAGTTTCAACGTTTCTTTATATCATAAATGATTTCATCAGACTTCTTTATATTGGAAGCCTTATTTTCAATATACGTTGATCGAGTGAGTCCATAGTTTTGCGTACATAACTGGGCTTGTTGCACCTGAGACATCTCTGTTCTACCTTATTCTCTGTAAAAGGAACACTTTGCCACTAGGCCCACTACAGATACCACTACATGCTATTTAAAGAATGATCATAGCATATTCCTATAATGCACCATTCTCTAACTTCACTGATTGATCAATACATGTTACAGATTTTGCTAGGCTACTATCAGTCAGCACACATTCTCAAGTAGTCAGATCACGCACTACCCTTCCCTAGTTCCCCTCATTGACACTAACAATCCAAGCCAATAAGTAAATTCTGCAAGTTCTTCCACTTAACAATTTGAGCAAAATAGCAACCCAATTTCCCCTAAGCATAATTGCATCCAGTGACATTTCAACTGTCCATGTATTACACAAAACAAAGCAAGAATCATGTGAACCGTAGCAATTTAACAAACAGAAATAACATGTTTTTATTTGTTAATTCCTTTCCAAAAATTGGCACAAAAATACAGCTACGATCATAAGCTGCTGGACCTAATTATACATGCATAATTGCACCACAATGAGAAGAGGCAAACTCATGCACACATAGCAAACTAGTTTGTTAGTGATGACCCTAGATACAGGCACCTGAGGGAGCTTGCCAATAGCGGATGCAGCAACGACATGGTAGCCGAGGATCTTAGACATCAAACGAAGCAGGCATTCCTTGGATGGAATTTTGGAATCCAAAGGAACCGAAAGTATGCGCCCTGAGCTCCTGCACATGATTCCCACATATGTCCCAGTGGCTGGCCTCATCCTATTGCTCATCCGCAAGGCCCCCAAACGTTGTCGCATTGGTGGTGACTGGGTTCTTGCATCAGGCATTTGCGAGAAACAAACTATCAAGGACAAAGGTTTCCTCGATAGTTTTACCACTGTAGGCGAGGGCTTTCTGCGACATGCTGTTCGATTGATTGGCCAAGATTGCGATGTGCTAACGCCAGTGCCAGAGCAGAGCACGGAGAGCCCGAAAGCCATGCTCACCAATCAGACTGTAGATTGAAAGGAGGGGTTGAGAAGTGAGAATTGCAGGCCATTATTGAGCAAGGAGGGCTTAATATTTCTCATGGGGAAGAAAACATTGCTAGAATTCATGCCCTGCACTGCACACGAGCACCACGAGGATCACCACCACCCCCACCCCCCACAGCTATCCAACAAACAAACAAAGAACTCCACTGGCGACTGGTCGATTCCTCCGTTCTTTTTGCCACGCCGCGCCAAGATCACAGCCCAAGCTACTAGAAACCGCAGCGTTTTTTTGTGCAAAATCTCACACGCCACGCTAATTCTCCTCTCACCCAGCACAAAATCCACCTATCGCTAATTCTCCTCCAACCCAGCACGAAATTCACCTGTCGAGCACACAGATCAGTACGCCACAAGCAAGCGCACGCATCTCATCTCATCACATCTCATCGTTGGGCGCATATGGCGAATTGTGTGTGTGTGGTGGGGGAGAGGATGGGAGAAAAACCTGAGGGAGCTTGACGGTGGTGGAGGCGGCGACGATGGCGTAGCCGAGCAGCTTGGAGGCGAGCGGGAGCAGGCAGTCCTTCTCCGGGATCTTGGCGTCCGCGAGCGCCGCGAGGACGCACCCGAAGTTGATCCCCAGGATCTCCAGCTCCATCGTCCCCGCCGCTGCCACCATGGCACACGCGTCTCGCCGGCGGCGAACTAGCTAGCTCCGGCCCCGCCCCGATTCCCTCGACGTCGCCGCGGCGGAGGGAGGAGATGGCGTGTGGTGTGGTGGGGAGATGCGTCCGTGACGTCAGCTGCCTGTGGCTGGGAGGAGGAGGAAGGAAAGCCCAGATGCGTGACGTGTTGGGCCGAACCCACCAACGCGCGGTTGCGTGGGCCTCGTGTTGTCATGTAGGCTTTGGGCTGTGTGGCCTTTGGGCCTCTTTGGGCACAAGAGAGGGATTAGGGAAAGGGAGAGTAAGTTTAAACCGAGAAATTGCGTGAGGAACATAAATTTGGAAAGATGTTTTTTTTTTCTTTTTTGGGTGTGGAATGGAGAACGTTGCGCCATGTTTTTGAACTCAAAGTTTGTTCCGATTTGTGTTCTTCATTTTTTGTTGTTATTCCAACCGCAAGTCGAATTTGAACGGAGATTTTAAATGGATAAATATTGAATTAAGAACAACGTTAAAATTCAAAACCATGTGTTCCAAAGGGAAAAGAAATAGAGGAATTCTAATTCATAGGAATAATCCCACCATGCCTCATTTGATTTGCATGATTCCTTAAGAATTTCATAGTATAGGGGAATTCTTTTTCACATTTTGGCAGAATTCAAGCAAAAAAAATGTCTACCCCCATGTTTCCAATGTCCTTTGAAAATCCTAATACACCTTTATTTTTCTCTCCCTTCTCTAACAAATGAACATATTACCCTAATTTTATTGCATTTTTCCTATAATAACATCTGTGTCTTTTTTCTATTCCTAAATTTTTGTTCCAAGGCACGTCTTTGATTCTACATAGACACCCTGTGGCAAAACCACAATCAAACAAGCAATGGGAATGGATCCGGCACGGTACCAAGTTAAGGAATAAATATTTTTCTATATTTTTTGTAAAACATGGTACAAATGTAAGTGCTCACAACATACGTACACTCTACCATGTATGAGAAATACTAGACTTTCCTATTCTAGTAGAACTATATGATTTTCTTTGATCATCCACAGGAGGCAGAACCGCACAAGTGGTTAGCTAGCTGATTATACACACAGTTTGTAGGTGTGTAGCCATAAACTTCTCCATAAAAAAAAATGAAAATGTTGCCACATCCATGCTTATTAAAAACTTGATTAATGGTTGTAGCTAGCATCTTGTGTCAATCAGTTTTATGTCATGCTTTGCATCTTTCGATTTCGTTTTTTTCTGTATGTAAGAAGGCACGTCACTTTCTCTTATAAACATGACAGTGAAAGGGTGGCACACAAAGCTTCAGTTTCAGCCCCCAGCAAAGGTGTTCCATTTCTTTCATGTGTCATCCAACGTGACAGGACTGTGCTGTCAGCCTCAGATTTTTCCATCTCCTTTCTCGGCTTCTTCATGGTGAAGCTTTTGACCATCTAAATCTCAAGATTAATTTAATGATGCGGTAGTAGCTGATTTGAAACGTAATGCTCTATTAGGAAACAGACAATAGCTAGAGTTTCGGCCATGAACACCAACCTTCTGCAATTGCACTGCAATTGACTCTTTGCCCGTCCTTGCAGCAGTTGCAAAGTAGCAAACAATTACCTAAAGCCAGTCATTGTCAGCAGCTAACAGCAAAGAAAAACAGATCAAATTCAGAGAGATTGTTAGTTCATTCTCAGAATGCACACACCAGAGTTCTTGAGGCTCCAGTACACAGCCATAATTCAGAGACTGTTAGTTTAGTTCTTTTTTTCAGAATGTATATTAGTACATAACTTGTTATTGCTGTAACAAAAAAACGTGCGGCTGGAACATAGCTCCACACAAAGACTGGGAAGAAAAAAAGGCCTCCTATGTGTACAAGACTATACTTATGATACGGACCGCGGGCACGGGTATTCGCCTGAAAATACACCAGGTGCGCTGCGAGTTCTATTTTACATATGTATATGGTCTATATGCACACCAGCCCTGCATAGCGGGCATGATGCGTGCCTGAAAAGCCAGTTGTCGATGCATCGTGCGTGGAACGTGTGCTGGCAATGAGGCAGGACCCGAACAAATTGCGATGCTCCAAAATCCTGGCAATCAGAAGTTATGGTGCGTCAGTACAAGAAACTAATCTGTTTAGCATCTGTGGTTAGAATGCAGCATTCTAGGTTCACACTAACCTGAAGGCAAACTGCACAACAGTTATCAGTTTCCTGATCAGGATTGGTTGCAGCGCTGAATGTGGTCTTTGGGATTCTGTTAATTAGATCTCTTGACATGCCTCCTGTATTTCCGGTTTCAAAAAGGTCATTGTTGTCAATGAATGGTGTACTCAGTAGACTCATCTGCATTAGAGAGAATAATGAATCAGACTTAGAATTATACATAGACCCTGTTGCAATCGCATAGAACCTTGCAAAGTTAAATCAACGAAATGCAATTATATGCTTATCATGCCTAAAAAGTTGTTGCTTCCGGCAATTGAGTTTTGCATATAATGGATAAATATCCTGCCCTATAAAATCTGACAAGGGTATGTGGACAGAAGGAAACACCACCTGGTCCAATAAAAAAAAACCTTATGTGTAGGCCTTGGATGTTGGGAGGTTGTATTCATTCATAAATCCAGGTTCATAGCAAAAAATACGCTCTTTTATGGACGGAAATAGTATATGTATTAAGTTTTTTGTTTTCATTTTTTTTTTAAAAAATTACACCATACTTACTTACAGCATTAAAATTCATGCATAACACCTTTTAATATATGTTTTAAGTTATGGTTCCGTGTCTTGTTACCTTTATTGGATAATTCAGTTTCAAAATTCCGAACGCTTTTAACAAGGTTCCTACCAGGCCAGGTTACACAACCCTATATTAGTTGTACTCTCAGTGTTCCCAAGTACTACTTGACCATCCATACATTATATATGGGATGGAGTAATGCTTTCTGTCACATGTCCACAGGAAGCCATTAGATGTCTCTAGGGGTTGATGTCTTTAGCATTAAAATGCTATTCTTGATATTCTAGTTGCTATAGAGGTCTTCCTGTTGCAGTATGGGGCATCATTCTCCCCTAAAATCATTTCCATACTTAAAAATATTTTCTTTTCATACATTAAAACCATCTAACCCCCTAAAAACTGAAATAGCTAGCAGTGCAAACTATTATTTGAGCCATAAGAGAGTAATGGTTTCTTACTCGATCGAACATTATGAAAGCTCAAAGGAAGAGCTGCATACCTGACTCTGCACCGCGCGCTGCAGTGCTGGGCTGACCTTCTCCCACACAATCCTTCCACTGAAGAGGCTAGAGATGATGTCAAGCTGAAACAACCGACAGAGTACATCAGAGCAAATAAAAATCAACTACACTCATCACCTGCTGCTATTGTATTTGCGCACACAAGAAATTGTGACATACTATAGATAATAAAGTCCAAAACATTTGCTTTACGACTTACGAGTAAAATTTCCTTGCTTTCTTCATTTCTCGGCAATTATTAGTAGTAAAGCACATATTTTTCTCACATGCAAATGTCAAGCTTACATCAAAGTGATGTATGCACACGCTAGAGTAGTTGTGTGAAAATGATCTCTCACCTTTCTCAACACACAAAAGTAAAAAGGGAAGGTTGGGTCTTGGATTCTTGCACACTCACCACGAAGATAATGCTGTATTTTCCTGATTCACTTGATCTCCAGATTTCGATGCACGATTCGACGGCCTCGATGGAGAAGACCGCGCCGGAGACCACCCCGACGCCTGCGCCTCGTAGCATGCCGCTTTCCGTGGACATCCCCATGAACGCGCCGATGAAGACTCCAACTAATGAGCCCACTGCATTCAACAGAAGAGATGAAAACACCAATGAGAGCTTTCATAAAAAAATTGCTGACTAATATGCACCTACTCTTTATTGGAAAACCCAAAAATTCTGTGAACTAAAACTTGCAAGAAGGAAAGATACAAAAACAATGGAACAAACAAAATAGAAGAAACTGATGAACCATGAAGCCCATAAAACCTAGAGAAGAAAGGGGGGAATAAAAGAAAAAGGTAGAAGCGTCTGAGTGAAGTATATACTAAATCCTGAGACGGAAGTGGCAAAGAACCTCCAAAATTTTTGCTTGCGGGATTGAATTGTTCCCAATTTGAGCAAGCAGCAGCCTACCACACCACAACGTGTAAAAGTCGTAAAGCAAGGAGAGCCAAAGAACACACTATCAACTACAGAGTCTCCGAGGGCGGCAAGAGTGAACAGAACCTATGGTGATTCGATTAATTCCCACCATGAATCACAACATATTCCAGGAACACACCACCCACCGAATCAATCCAAGAACTTAGTAGGACCAATAGACTCCCATGAAGCAAGAATCCGAGGAGGCAAACATCTAAAAAATCAAATAAAAATCACCCCACCCCAAGATTGCACTCGCGCGACAAGCAATGGGAAGGAGGAGGCCGCGGGCGAGAGAGGGGGATGTACCGACGGCGAAGACGCAGGTGAGCAGCGCGCAGACCGTCCACCCGGCGGCGGAGGCGGCGGCGGCGCCGCAGCCCCCGCACGCCCTCCACAGCCTGTCGAGGCAGCACCCCGACGCCGCCGCCGCCGCCGCAGCGGCAGAAGAAGAAGGAGAAGGAGAAGGCATGGCGGAGTAATCCATGGGGGAGAGGGAGGTGAGGTCAGGGCGCAGCGGCAACCATCCAAGAAAACAACCACTGTGGGTGCGCAAGTGCAAGGACGCAGGGATGGGCGCGTATATATAGGCGGCGGTGGTGGCGGGGTAAGAGGACAAAGTGGTGAGGAAATCTCGGCGGCTAAGCGGGAGGAGGAGGAGTCGACGCGAGGTAGAAGAAGAAGGCGATGAGGAGGAGGAGGAGGGGATAGGGGAAGGGGAGCAATTAATGCAGCAGAGGGAGCAACACAACCCAACCCAAGGGAACGGAAGCAGAGGGGAGGGAGAACCGGAGAAGCTGTGTGTATCCTTCTCGTAAACCGGGTGGTCCTTTCGTTAAGCCTCAATCAGCGGCACCCGTTTTTTTTTTTTTGGGCCCTAATATACCATTACAAAATTCTATCATATTAGAAACATATCATTATTATTATTAGAGTAAAATTCACTTTGAACCACATATTTATTATAATAAATTTTACGTTAGATCATCTTTTATTACCGAGGTTTCGTTTTGGACCGTCCTTTTAACCAACTTTTCATTAGAACCGGGTATTTTTTATCATTGTGACACTTTGAACCATCCTCAACTTTTTTTATACATTTGCATCCAACTTATTATATGCCAAAGAGATGGTCTTACATATAGCTGTGGGTGTTTATTGATAAGTAGGAGTTGACGTAATCAAGAGTGTTCATATGCTTTAGAAGGGAATCATGTGGTCTGAAGTTAAACAAGGTAAGTTTACTCCGTCCAAAGTGAAAACACTAGGTAAATGGTGGCTTTTAAAGTGATATTTATTTTTATTATCTTATTGGTTAGTTGTCACTGAAATTTTATAAAATTAAAATTAAAATTAAAATTATGCTATGGCCGTCACTTTTTTCAAAATTTACTTAGAAGAATTAAATCGTGGACGGAATAACCGAGCAATTCTACTTGCTGACGCTCCGATTTTGATTTCAAATATAGGTCGTTTTAAATTTACTTAGTAGTGCTTGAGGTCGCGGGCTCCGGTGGTGGCTCTCCCCCACCCTCCCCGTGCGGATCTGGTGACGGGCACAAGCGGGAGGCCGGCAGCGGCTCTCTCCCGTCCTCTCCGGGCGGATCCGGCGGCAGGCGACACAGTGGCGGTAAGCGTGGGCTCTGGCGACGACGGGAGGTGCAGCGGCACCAGCGGAGATGGGAGAGGCGGATCCGTTGGCGACGATGGTGGCGGCAACGATAGTGGCTGGCTAGGGTTAGTGTTAGGTTTTTTATTTTTGGAATTTTTACTTTTTTGCAGTTTTTTATTTTCACGTGTGGGCGCGCCACCTGCATGAAAAGTTCATTATTTTTGCAAACCCTTCCAGATGGGCGGTTAGTCTACCGCACACAAAAAGCGATTTGGATCGTTTGGGAAAAAAAATCCTTTTGTAGTAGTGATAAGAAATAGTAAATCAATAAAAAAATCTCTGTAATTGTTCATTGTGGGATTTTGCATCACGATTTGCTCCTGACAACGGGTAGGTCTTATTCTCGAGCATCGGTGGCCCGTTTGATTAAAAAAAAGAGAATAGGTCTAATATGGTAGGCGATGTGTAGATGTCATTAAGTTGTGTGAAATTTCAATTTATTTATTACTCGAAATGTGTCAAATCGACTAATCTGAAGTTTGGAACTTGAACTTACTATATAAGTTATTAACATATCATGTCCAAAATTTTGAAGCTTACAAATCCGAATTTAAAATTTCCAAACTTATAGTTACATGATCATAATTTATAACTTATTTTCATAATTTCTTTATTAAATTCTAAAATAGAAAACAAACAAACTTTAGAAAACAATTGATTATTCAAAACAGATATGCTTGCTCCTAGTTTTGGATAATGGAAGCCCTTATTGCATTTAGCTAATTACATTAAGGTGATAAAATTAAATTGAGCACACTCTCAACCATTCTTTGCTCCTACTTGTGGTCATCTTATGGCGATTTTTGTCAGCTGGGCATGGTTGCTCATCATTATCGAACTCAGGGATGATCCAGAACAAGATTAGAGGGAGCACTCATCTCCTTCTTCCTCCTTCAAACCCCCATCTCTTCCTCTTATTTCTCCTTCTTTCTCTCTTTCTATCCATGATGATCTAGCAGGGTAGGGGGCACTCAAGTCCTCCTATCACTCACGCTGGATCTGTACTTGGTCGAACCCGCCAAGGGCCGCCACCCATATATCCCCCATATGGCCCTATTTATTTGGTCAAGAATCAAGATTGTAGAGATTTTTTTTCATCTTGTACAGAATTGACTTATTCTTTTCGAGAACGAGAGCTGGAAGTCAAATAATGACCAACCATGGTGACCATTCAGGCATTCAGCAGGGATTGTTTGAATTGAACAACATCAAAGCAGTCTATGGTACAGAGGAAAAAAAAAGCACGGGTGTATACTATAATAACGGAACTTTGCAAGGAGTTCGTTTTTCACATCGAGAATTTTAAGCAAGTACGGATGGCCGGCCCTGCCGTTCGATGCAGCATCGTGGTACATTAATTGACCAGTCAAAAAGAACAAAAGAGATACACTTTATAGTTTATACATGCATTGTACTATGTAATTGACATTATAAAACATTGACACAAACGGAGAGTACGGTGTGGATGTACCATTTCAACAAAATGTACATACAAACTTTTGGACGTACATGCATGCTATCATGATAATTACAAAATTTACAACTATATATATGGTTTGAAACTTTGTACATTGCGTGTGCTATATATGTGTTACACAACCGAGACTTTTTGAACAATACTTCTCATGCACATTTTGAATGCCCTTTTGTGCAACGGAGCACGGGAGCATTCAACTAGAGCAGTAGAGCTGTTGCAGTTCCAATATGCATGGTAGTGTTCTATGTATAAAAATACCAGTATCTGTCCTAAAATATAAAAAAAACACAAGGTTTATATTTTTTTACGTGATCTTGGATATTGCATTTTGACCATTATTTTTTCATATAATATATTATCAACCGTTATAATTTTAACACAATATAAAAGTTTATTTTCAAGAAAATATAATGGTATAGTACTAGCTACCTGCAAGTCCCTGAACATAAATACATATTACAAGTCTAATTATTAGCTTGTTAAAAGATTTGACTTTACTAACATATTGGGCGTCTTCTATATATACTCCCTCCGTCTCTAAATATTTTATACATAAAAGTATATTTAACAATTAATCAAATCTTTTATATTTAACAATTAATCAAATGATAGGAAAAGAATTAATAATTACTTAATTTTTTTTAATAAAACGAATGGTCAAACATATTTAAAAAAGTCGGCAGCGTCAAATATTTAGGGACATGGGAATATATACTAGTCCAAAGTTACAATCTATAGCTACTCTATGTCGTTGGGTGTGCAACGTACAGACGTAGTACGTACGTACAGAAAGAGGCATTCATCCAGATATATATTGCCGTAGTGGCCTAACCTGGAGTGCAGTGTACCCAACGGTATACGACGACGATGGTGAGATATCGCAATACTTCGTCGTCCCAAATATCCGGTGTGCTTATGCCAGCCGTTGGAGCATCCCCATCGATCAGATCGATCAGGCTCTCCTATATATTGTTAAGAAACTGCGGGTGATCTCATCCACCCAAGAAAATAGGAACAACGGTTCCTATCTAACCGGTAGAGAAGAGGAGATTGCTCCTCTCTCTCCCTTTGGCGTCCCTCTCGACAACCGATGCGATGTTCCCAAACATCGCGTCCCCTGCGGTTGACACCGCTTCACATTGTATAAATGTACTGTTGATCAATGAGAAATCGATCGATTCGCTCTATTTGTGTTCAATTCTCTCTCTCGCTCAATCTCTTTCGCTCAATCAATTCTATCCACATTCAATATGTTATTAGCACTTTCGCTCTCGCGAAGGAGATCGCGAAGTGAAAGAAGTAAGAAACATCGCTTTTGATCTAACAGAAAAGCGAACAGAAGATTCAACAAAGAAGTACCGATGCCTACCTTTCATTGGATTATGGATGCTGTTCTCGGCCTCCCTCGCAATCAGCGCGCCCGTCGCCTTCGCCATCTTCTCCGTCGATCGGAGAGGGGTCGCCACCACCACCACGGTCGCCGCCAACACCATGAACGTCGGGCTAGGGCTGGTGGCCGTCGCCACCACCCTCGCCGACGCATCATGGTGACTACTCCGGTTGCTCCTCCTCCGCCTCTGTCTCCGGTTGCCGTCGTGCCTCACCGTATCTGTGTGCAGGGGGTGCAGTTCTGCGCCTACCACGGATGGACGGCAGTGGTGACACTGCCCGGCGAGCCATGTGACCTTTCCCCGGAGATAGAGTCGCTGCCGCCACCACCGACCGCCCCTTCACCACCTCCACCGACACCAAGCCGACGCCAACGCCGTTCCCCCACTCCCGCGCCACCGGGGTCCGGCAGGACCGGTACCCTGGCTGCGCGCACGGGGGAGCCGCCCTTCTTCAATCCGTCCACATCTCGTCGTCATGCCGGTGAAGCCGCCGCTCGCCGTCCCGGCCTCCGCCACACCTTCATCGCCGTTCCCCATAGCTCTCCTAGCTGTACACTCCCTAACGGGGTGCCGGGGAATGGCGTCCGGGCTCGGCCGGCCTCCGATTCCGATGAGGATCGGGAGCCGTCGGCCTAATCTGGCCGGCAAACCGCCGGCGGATGGAGGGGCGGCCGTGGCGGCAGTGGATGGTGGATGGCGACAACGGTGGGCATCCCCATCGATCAGATCGATCAGGCTCTCCTATATATGACGTCCCTTTTTATATGTAGATCAGGCTGGATCAACAGCGTTATTACCAACTATTTTTTTTTTAAAAAATAGTGCTGTTACACCGGCAACCTTTGACAAAAACACGCAGCGAAATTGCTTGTACTAGAAGATAAAACTAGTGCGTAAGCATTATTTATACTCTCCTCTCCATATTATAAGGTATATTAGTCAAACTTATCATATTTATAGAAAAATATACACCAACACACATATAGGACATAAAATTAGGTTTAAATTCACCATAATAATATATATTGATAGTGTATTTATTTGGAATTATAAATGTTTTTATAAATCTGGTCAAAGTTTAAGAAGACTATGGCTTGTTTGGTAGAGCTCCAACTCCTAAATATAGTTTTAGGAGTTGGGTCTGGAATAGAGCTATGGAGCAACCTAAACCTAGCTCCACCTCTTTAGTTCATTTTGTGAGAGTGCTCCACTCAGCTCCACTCATACTTTAGGTG